TAATTTCTTCTTAGTTCTATAATACATTGGTTTTAATCTTTTCATGTTTGTGGACTGCAATGTTTGCGCTATTAGTAGATGATGCATGAGATTTTATACCTTCGTTCGAGTAAAAATTTTAAAGAAAAGATAAATTTTCCTTTTTATTCAAATTCTTTGTGAGACACTACATTTTATCGAATATTTGTTGATAACTTTATGTAACTTTTTTATGATATAAGCAAGATGAAAGCGGATGAAAATTTATAAAAAGTGTATTTTCTTCAAAAAGACTTGTCAGTTATAATGACATCAAAGGTATTACATCTTGTTTTACTTTGAGTTGATGTTACCTGGAAACGTGAGATTCTTGAAAATTTTCGTTTTTTTTTTTTTTTTTTCTTATTTAAAATTAATCTTCTATATCAATTTATTAACGTTCTCGAAATTTTAATTAAATTGCGTATAAAGTGTCCAATTTCACGAATTCATGGAATCATTTATAATTTATAATATGTAACTAAATATGAAGTAATAATATTAAATTTAAAGCTTGAAATTATGCAAGTTGAATATTTATATATAACTTAATATAAATTGTTTTATCAATTGGTTTTCATGAATGTAAAAAAAAATAATCAGTAATAATTAATTAAATATTTTAATTATAATAAGATATATTTGTCAAATCAAATTTTTATTATTCTTACAAGAAAAGATCCTCTTCCTCTTTTGGAAATTCTTAAGATTTCATAATTTTTTGAATTTTCAGATTGAGGATTTTTTCTTGTTAATAAAATTGTAAAATTGTACTCTATTGTTTTAAAAATCTTATGAATAATTTAATTGTTTTATCTGCAACAACGAAATTAAAATTCTTTCTAATTTTGATTTTAATTTTTTACTGATATATTTTACATTACATTATACATTTTACATTACATTATTTTATAACATATTTTACTTATGACGTACTGACGTATTTTATATCAAATATAAATAATTTGTTGATGTATTTTACAACGTGACGATTAAAAAAAAGATGATTTAAAAAGAATTAATAATTATTTAACAATAAATGTAAAATTTAAATATTTGTAATTCAATTTTTGTCTATCTAAAAGTGCAAAATAAAAAATAATAGTAAAAAATAGTAATAAAAAATAATGATGTTTTTTGATTTTTGATTTCACAATTTCGGAAATAAATCTTGTATAAAATAATACTTTATTAAATCAACAAACATGATAAATTTTTAAATCAAACCAAGAATACCCATGAATGAATCTCGAGTTCTTTAATCTCAATTATCGAATAAACTTATTATTCTTATGAAAAATCGTTTGATATGAAATTCATTCATTCCAAATTCATGAAATCAAAAATAGAGACTTTTAAAATAAGAAATACGAATTGCAAATTGCTGTTTATAGAAGAATGATACAATAAATAATAATCAACTTAAAAATTTATAATAAACAGATTTATAATAAAAAGACTTTAAAGTAAAATAATATTATAACTAAAAATGAATAATATTATACTGAATAATATTATAATGAAAAATGAGCACACTTGTGACGAAGAGTAAAAATCTCGGGATTTCTATTCTACAAAAAGAATTAATAAAATTCTTTAAAAATTTCGAAAAAATATAAATCAAGAATTGCTTTTTAACTTTTATAAAAAGAATTTCGGCGGAAAATTTTTATTTTTCTCTCAAAGAAAATTTCTTTATTTATTCCTTGCTAAATATTTTGCTCTTGTCTGCCCTTTTTTTTTTAAAAAAAGTTTGCAACTTGTCGTACGAGATATCGTTCAAAGTGAAAAGCATTTGGATTAAAATTAATTATGTTTCGCGGAATCGTCGTTGCAAATCGTTTCGAGCGAGTAAATAAGACGATGAAAAGGATCCCCCTCTTTATCATGGCGCCACCATGCCGTTGAATTTTATAACCGGTACAAGCATAGGCCGTAAAAGGAAATGGAGAAACGCGAAGAAATTTTATTTCGCACAGTGGCGGCCTTCCTTCCGCGTGATTTGTCCGTTTGTGCGTGGGCCTGCCCTCGTAAAGAATTTACGAGTTCGAGACGTGGGCGAAATTACGTAAAATGAGTGGAAGAGAAAGAGAGAAAAAAGGGCAGAGAGGGAGTGTTTGAAGACAAATTAGCAGGTAAATTGGAAGTAAATTTAATTGTATCGATCATGAATATAGGTAATATTCCTCAACCACGAGTTATTTCCTAAATATCTAAACACGGTAATTGGACATTTAGAGCAATCAAAGATGAGAGATAACATTGTTTGCGTTAGATTGATTGTAGTTATTATTTGGTCAAGAACAGATATTAGATGATTAATTTGATTTGAAATTTTTTGCGGTTATGGAAATATATTATTGACTTATAGAGTAAATACAGTGAAAGAGAAAGATTTATGAGTTTTGTAATTATCGAAGGGAGAAACTTTTGTAATTATCTAAAAGAAATATTAATTTTTAGAAAAAAAATATACGAACGAAAGAGAAAATTTTTGATTAAAAGAGATCAAAGAGATATTGTTTCTTAGAAAAATTAATAAATGAAAGAAAAAGATTTGGTTTAAAAAATTCAGAGATTTTGCAATTATTGATTCGATGTAATAATGACTTTAATTTAATAATAAATGATAATAATTTTTTTTCATATATTAAGTAAATAAATAAATACAGTTATATTCTTTTTTGGTTTTATTTAGAAAATAAAACTTGACAATTGCAACTTGAACTTGAATTGGATTATATTTTTACAATTTCATACAGCTTCTTAAAGTTAGAAGTTAGATATGAAAATAAAAAACTGAAGATAAATTTTTTTACTTACGTCATAAATTGATTTCACACTTATTTCTGCAATGAATTGTAAAAAAAAAAAATAAATAAATAAATTATATAATTTTCTGAAAATAAGGAGTTAAAAAAATATATTAATATTGCATTCTTATATCATGGACGAATTTATTCGATAATATGTACAAATTCTTTAGTGATGAAAATATAAATATATGGTAACATATTCCTTTTTTAAATAAAATGTATAATAAATAAAGAATAAAACGAGTTTTAAAAAACAATTTCATCTATTACTCTTTAAACATAACTTATATAAAGTACAATTTAATTTGAACACACGATACACAGTACGAAAGTTGAAATGGTCGATTAAATTCTCTATTCAATTTCATCGATGATCGAATCTTTGTACGAGAAAATCCGCTTTATCGTTGAACTTTCAATTTTATTTAATAGAGTCCATAGATATACTATAAAGATATTCAGTATCATTTAGAGATACAAAGATGAATATGCTGTACAATTGCAATGTTTCGCAGGGATGCGCGTCGATCGAGAAAAATATTGGGCATTGATTTATCGTTCTCGTAGATCGCTCACAAAATTGCACTCACGAGGGCAGGGGCGTTTTCGCGATGATCACGAGCGAATGGAATACATGAATATATTACACATTTATGATTACACGTATGTGTCTGCTTATATAAGGTGATCTGATAACTTTGACCATCTAACTTTTATCGTTATTTGTAGATAAAATGATAAAATTGAAAATTTCGAAATTGAAATTTGCGATATTTTCGTTAAAAAAAATAATTCTACAAAATACTTAGGATTTTTTGATAGGGAATAGATATTCTATATGATAAATGATTATCAGTGATCAACGTATTTCAATAAATGTTGAAAAATAATAAAATGCTAAATAAAAAATTTTTATTAAGAAAGATAGAACAATGGCCAAATTGCTTCCCAATTTATCCGTTTCAGAGGCACTAAGGATTTTTTAAGAATTGACATAAATTGTTTATTTAACATTTATTTATTTTATTATAATTACATTACCATATTTTATCATATTTTAAATGTATCCAGGTTATTCTTTCACGTATGAAAAAATTATTATATACATATTATAGTCTTATAGATACAATTTTCGTAAAGAAATATAAGAGATATTCAAGGTAACAGAAGTTATTGAACCACCTTATATTTGTGTATGTATATGTATATGCTTACATTACATACGTACAGTATATAGACACATATGTGTATATGATGTACACATGAAGCTGATGTTCGCTATGTATATATGTACATATATGTATATTTTGAGCGTATCATTTTCCACATTAATCGATTCGCCAGGCTAATGTTCTCTCCATCCTCCTACAAGTTTGTAAATGTTTAACAGCTTCATCAAAGTAAAATTTATTAATAAATCGAAAATTCGATTTGGTTTTATAAGTTCTTTACTTTTTCGTATATCACTGTTAATAAACTATTTATATTTGTTATTTCAGTTTTTAATTTAATTTTATAACATAATTTTATATTTTATATATTAATAATTTTATAACAATCTTTGATTTTAATCTTTTCACGATATCGCATATAATCAATATAATACTTCAATTAATTGAATCAATCAATTAATCAATCAATATAATACTTCAATCAATTTTTTAAATGAATATATTTTCTTTCGGTAAAACAGGTTTCAAACTTTAATACATTATATTTTTATAAAAACATCAATTCTATTATAAATAATTGACAAAAAAATTTTGATTCTGAAAGAATTAATTAGAGGATGAAAAAAACATATACCACGATCAAATTCGCTTGAAATACTGATCATGTAATGTGAGCATAAAAAACTTATTTTATTCATATTTTTCTCTTGAATTATGATTTTAATATTAATTATGTACGTAGAATGTTGGTGTTATTCAATAGTTGCTTATACGGAACGATAAGAAGTCGCGAATAACATTCGGGCAATATCGTGAAACTTCGGTCAACATTCGGATAGCCGAAAGCAATATTTGGCTAGTTTCGGGCAATATCGAGAAGCTTTAGATAAAAAGCAATGTAACAAGATCAGAGCCTAAACATTTTAAACATTCACTCGGCTAGTTTTGTTATTAATTTTATCTTCAGCATCTCTTTTGGTTAACCGCAAGCTTCTTTATCTGCAAAATGGCAGGCTAAACAGCACTGATATTAAGATATAGTTTGTACTGTAACAGAGAGTTCCAATCTCTTTTCGTAATTTTTCGTATACCTGAGACAGAAAAAAGAATGGATAAAAGAATCGAAAAGAAAATTTCAGAAATCCACGTCTATAAGATAGACGAAGCATTGATAATTTTGGTGACATAACAATACTCGTAGTCTCTTTGTCGAAGCTCAAAAGGAGCAATTTTTCGATGAAAGAATTCTATGCAGATTTAAGATGTATCTCACTCAAGAAAACGCGATCAGGTTTCTTTTTCATCGTTCATTTCTTACACCAGTGACACCATAACTCGTTTCCTAGAATGTAACATGGCGATATGACCGCTTCTTCTCGAAGATTGAGCCGTTAAAGATGTCGTCACTGTCGTCCTTGTACTACTGTTTGGAGCACCAGTGCCGAAACAATGATGTGGGTTCGTCGCACACCATCCAGAAACCCATGATATCACTTGTGTATTTCTGTTGAATTAGAATCATTTTATTTCATTTAAACAGATTTGTGTTTTTTTATATTAATTATATTAAAAAAAAAGTAATATTAAAACTTTTTGTTCTTTTACAATTGAATTATTAATCTTTCCAAAATAAAATGTTTGATTTAAATTTGTGAGATTTTAAAAGTCTTGAAGTCTCAGATTTCTTTTCTTTATTTTATTTGTTTTTTTCAAAATCTTAACATTATTAAAATTCTTGAAATTTATAGTTAGCCAATAATAAAACTAATTACTTTTTTGATTTGCAAATAATTCAAAAGTTTTAAATATAACAGAACATCAATTATCCAAATCTCGATTATTATTAAAATGTTGCACTATTACTATAATAATAATATAAAAAATTTATATCATATAATATATACAATAAATACTTTTTTAACATTAACTAATATTATACATATTTATTTTTTTTATTTTTTTAATATATATTGTTATTTGAAAGTATTTCTTTCTAAAAATAAATTAATATTTTGTATAATGTATACTATATTTTAAATTATAGCAATAATTATTTTTGTATTCAAGTAAGTAATTAATTAATTTTCCATATTTATAAACTAGATAAATATACATGAACTATTTCGGTCTTAATTGATTCTTATAACCGATATTATGCTTTATTTTTTAAAATCACATCAATTAAAAACAAAAATTCTAAGTTTAAATAGAAATAAATTCATATCGTTATATAAATTCTCGTAAATTTTTTTATTTGTACAAATTATTGTTTAGTTAATTTTTAAAAGTTTTAAATCAGAAAAATCAGCAAAAGTGTTTCAAGAATTAAAAATTTTTTGATTTTTTGATTTTTTCGAGAAATCGATTGATCTATTCTTAGTTTAAATTCTTTGATATATTCAAATCTCGAAGAGGTACTTTAACTTAAAGCACCAAGCTTTACTTTCGTATTTTGGAACCTTACCTTACAATTTTACAAAACGACGTGCTGAAGAGACAATATATTATTGGATTAGCAGCTGAATTCAGAGTCGTTAAACTTTGAATGAAAGTGGCAACGGCGACGACAGTTTGGGTCTTTGGCAGATATCCGAAAACTTGAAGGAGATCGAACACTATATAAGGGCTCCAACAAAGAATGAATACTGAAACGTGAAAAAATCGTTTTTGATTAGATAAGGCTTTATATTTCAAAATATTCTTAGTTTGACATTATCTTTTTATTATTTCCATTATTCTTTCAAATATAATTATTTCAAAAGTTCTCTTAGCAATTTTTACATATTCGAATAGCACTTAAATTCTATGTTAAAAAATAGTTCATCATAATAAATACATAATTTTTTTTTTTTACAATAAAATATTCAAATTGTAATTATTATATATATTATTTTTGATATTATATACTGAGAATATTTAATTAATAGAAAGGATTTACAGATAATTTATTTTTTTTTTAGAATAAAATATTCAAGTTGTAATATTACATATATATATATATATATTATTTTATTTTAAATAAAATATTCAAGTTGTAATATTACACATATATATATTATTTTTGATATTATATACTATTATATTTAACACATAACAAATATCATTTAAATTAAGAATATTTAATTAATAGAAAAGATTTACATATTTGTGAAAATATATTCCATTGCATATGCAAAAATTAATAAAACTATCGTTGATATTTACAATATTATTTTCGAAAATCAAATAAAATTATTAAAAATATAGTAATAATAAAAGTAGTAAAGTATAGTTCATCATAATAAATACATAATTTTTTTTTTACAATAAAACATTTAAGTTGTAATTATTATATATATATTATTTTTGATATTGTATACTGAGAATATTTAATTAATAGAAAGAATTTACAGATTATTTTTTTTTTTTTAGAATAAAATATTCAAGTTGTAATATTACATATATATATATTATTTTTGATATTATATACTATTATATTTAACACATAACAAATATCATTTGAATTAAGAATATTTAATTAATAGAAAAGATTTATATATTTGTGAAAATATATTCCATTGCATATGCAAAAATTAATAAAACTATCATTGATATTTACAATATTAATTTCGAAAATCAAATAACAAAATTATTGAAAAATTCAAGATAACTGAAAATCTCATTTCAAAATTCTTCGAAATCGATGCGAATACATATTAATTTTAAATGAATAAGTGTTGTAAAAAAGTGTGAATGAGAAACGTTAAAAAGATGGAAATCTATCACGATTGAATGGAGAGTAAAAGTTGCAAAATTAATTTCCTCGCAAAACATCACGCCCGCCATCTTTTCCTCTTATTTTTTTTTTTTTTTTTTTTTTTTTCCCCAACGACAAGAATTTTTCTGGTTGTTAACCAAAAAAAAAAATTTTCCAACTTATTTTTTTTTTTTTTTTTTTTTTTCATTTTCCTCAACGACATGAATATTCATGCTTGTTAACCAAGTAAAATAAATTATCCAGCTACTATTTTCTTTGATGTCGAAATAAATAAGAATAATCTCTTCTCTAACAAAGAATTACTAAAGAAAAAAAAAAAAAGAAAAAAACAAGTTTTATGTAATATTTATGTAAAATTCTATCTAGTCAAATTTTGCATTTTTACATCAAGAAATGCAATGAATATTTCCCAAGAGAAATTGACAAACTTAAATCGCATTGTCTCGTTCTTGAATAAACGTAAATAAATAATAAGATACGATTAAGCAAAACACTAGAAAATCGGATAAAAGCTTATCTTAATTCCTTTAACTCGAGAAGTTATGAGAAAATAATTGAAAACATAGTTAAGGATAATGAGACGGATTTGAGAATCTCTGTCCAGGATTTTCGTTCTGTTGCAGAGAATACGAGAAATTTTAATCGGAGATGAACTATTAAAGGATCGAATATTTTAGAAGAATTTAATTTTTAAAATGACTTTTCTTTATTTTTCGTATTAAAATTGTTGGATCGAATAAAAATGGGCAAATTTGAAAAGGTATGAAAATTAAAATGAAAATTAAAATAAAATGTTAGTACGAGGTATTATTGCCTCTGGATTTATATCCAAATCTGAATTTCATTATTTCATATTTGATATAAAATAGTCTGAAGATTTAAAAATTTGTGTTATTCATTATTATTATTATTATTAATATTACTATGTAACTTCAAAATCTGAAATTTGAGAAATAAAATATTGAATTAAATATATGTCTGCAAATGTTTATTTTTTCTCTTAAAGAATAGTTTTAATCAAGAGTTTTAATTATTATATACATTGATTCTCTTTTTTTTTTCTATTCGAAAAATTTCAAAGGAATTTTATCTTTAAATTTGCGTTGAAAAAATTCAGAAATCAAAAGAGTTATATAACGTAAAAAATAAACATTCTGATTTTCGAGAGTTTCGTATTTACATATTTGCATTTTCATCACAAAATTTTGACGCATCTTTGAAAGGATAAACAAAAACAAAGAATGGATGTTTACATATTTATGCAAAATTTGAACAAAATTTGACAAGAACAGATATGATATTCAAAATATACGAAATATTATATCCAAGTATACTTTGAATTATAATATTTGAGAAATAAAGCAAATCTTTTAAATCTTCATTTCTTTACTCGTAAAAATCTCTTGTTCACTTATGAAAGTTTCGAAAATAGATTTTACAGTAAACCAGAAAACTAAATTAAATTCGATTTTTAATGATTCCTTGTCTTAAATACGCAACATCGACGAAATTGCATAAAAGCTTTGAACAGTTCGCATGAACGAACGCATTGTTCGATGCCTCTTGCTTATTCTAATCATGAACGAATCCCTTTATCGTTATTTCGGTAGAAATATTGGTTGCACTTATCGACCTCGATTTTCGTCATGCACATTGCTTGATCTTGACATCTTTCTCTAATCTAATTAACGATGAGGAGGACGATTAGTAATGCGATACTAGCGCCATACTGACCATTAACTATTATAACCTATTATATGTGTGTTTATAGTTTTTCTTCAATTATTCTCTAACTTATTATTTATATTTTTTATCTTATATGCTTAATTATTTTTCTATTCAAATATAACAGAGATAGATATTTTATTAATTTTTGAAATTTTCCACTCGTATTAAAAGCTTAATTATGAATTTGAGAGTTTGCTTTCGACAGTTAGTTTTTATTAACAATATCTCATTCAAAATGAAAATCATTATCAAAGCAATTTCAAACTCTCGGAAAAGTTTATTTTAAAAATATATAAAATTGTTTTTTCACGTTATTGACGAGAAAATTATGTTTAAAATTAGCTAATCGTCATCCCAGTGTTAAAAATAAACAAGTTTGATACCATTTCTTCGCATTCTTTTTTTATAATAAATTGCTAGTCTATGGTTGTTTCACACGAGAAATGATTTTCTCGAATTCGAAATTATACCGAAGAGAGTTGCATGGATGAAGCTCAAATCTCATTTGATCGGTTCCATTGGGAACGATTTTCCTTGACTAGAAAAAAAAAAAAAAAAAAAAAAGAATTTTCAACCGAGACATCGTCGAGAAACGAATCTGATTAGAGCAAGGTAATTCTTGTTACATATAAACTCGTTCCCTCGAGAAATGTAAAGAAGAGGTCGGTTATTTTGAACGAGGGAAAGAATGTGAAACTTTTGAACTCGGCCATCTTAGTAATTTCAACTTAATCACGATAAAAATAATTTCGATCTTTGATATTGTACACGTTTCAATTCCATTGGGTTCATAAAAAAAAAAAAAAAAAATTGTGTTATAATTTTTCTTTCGTTCCTTTCTGTCTGGTTGTTTTAGAAGATTGGTATTGTCCTCTATGGGCTTGAATTTCTACAGCTCTGTACTTAACGAAATGAAATAACAGTGGTTACGAGTACAAAGGAAGATTTCATTTTCTAAAGAATGATATTTTCTTGGATTTTATAGGATGTAATTTTTTCAAGATTTTATTTATACTAGTGTTTATAAATAATATAAATGGGGGGGAGAGATGCGTAAAGTTTCTTCTTAAATTTATAAAATATTATAAAAATTTATCAATATCTATATTTCCATATTTAAATTAACAAACTTTATTTGTTATCCAAATCATGTACTATGAAATGAACACTTAATTAAATTAAATTAACAAAAACTAAATATTAACAGATAAAAACAATAATTTTAATAATTTATATATAATCTGATATTATATTTATATTATTATTATTTCAATTTATTTAGATATATTTGCAATAAAGAATTTATTCGTTACACATTTTAATTTTATTATGACGTTATTTCAATGGTGGAAATGACGCAAACGAAACAAAAAAAAAAAGTTGTATGATATTTTTCATTAGCAATTTTTCGCAATTATTATTAAAAAATGTTTCAAGCTTTGTATAGAATTATTTTTTGCAAAAAATTCAATTCACATTAAATCATTTTTATTAATTTTGTAATATAAAAAAATTCGTAGAAATGTGCTAACATCTGGTGGATAAACTCTGAATTATGATTGTTTGATCTTTATCTTATATTAATTATCTTATGTGAACACAATGTATTTATTGATTAACAATGCAATATTATTATTAATATAAAATCATGTTTGATGCTTTATTATGAATTTAATAATAATGTTTAATATTAGAATTGAGTTATAATTATTTAAATTAAAAGTTTATATATTATAAAAATATATATCTTGTACAAAATTAGAAAAACATTTGTACAATAATTTATAAACTAATAGACATTTTTTTTACAAATTTTACAATTTTAAATTAAAATAAAATTGTAATCAGATATCAAATGTATCAAATCAATGAAAAATTTTCTAAAAATATATAATAAAAAGTAAATGATAAATATTAGTAGACCTCATTGTTAATTTAATTATATCAGAAATATGAATCTACAATTTCAATTAAAATTAAAAGATGATAAATGTATCAAAGGAAAAGTAAATACACTTTCTATGAAATTAAATTAAATTATAACAAAGTAGTATTAATACTACTTATTTATATTATTGATAAAATTAAAACATTAATAATTTTCTTATTAAAAAACAAAATCAAATAAAACAAAAAAGATAAATTAAAAATTTAATTTATTTCTAGATATAATAACAATATATTGTATAAAAAAAGAGATGAAAAGAAAATATTAATTCGAAAATATTTCACTAATTTTCTTATTAGAGAAATATCATTTCGAGAGAATAAAACCCTAAAGTTTTATTATTAAATTATAAAATATTCAAATTTTAATAACCTCTTGTTTAATACCTATTGTAATTACCTTCTCAGAAAAGATATTTCTACTATTTCAAATTATATAAAATTATTACAACAACAAAAAAGTTATATAAAATAATTAGAAAAATTGATAAATCGAAAAATAATTTTGCTCCATATATATTTTGTGCATAATAAATTTTCATCGAAATCGGATATTTTTCATAAAAATACCTACGAATTTTTGCGAATGACTGTATCCAGATAATCGTCACAGGATAAATATCATCCAGAAAGATAAATGTATTCCAAGAATTGTCAACTTCTTCTCTTCTCTTGGCTTCGATCTCATTCATTGCCTCTTAACTATTAACGAGGACATTTCTTACGAGCAAAAGATAGAGAAGTTGGTGGAAACAAAAGGATAACCCACGAGATAATCCTACGACAATATCTCGAGATCATTGAAATCACTGGAATGGCCATCGCAAAACCTGGATTTCAGATTCCAGAAGAATAATCCCCGCGCGACGATTAAGCGGGCAGAGAGCGCGACACTTAACCGGCCACCAATCGAATTCACCGATTTCCCAGAGAAGTTCGAGGGGAGATCGGCCATCCCCTCCAAACCTATCCTTTTCACACGCCGCAAATGTATAATCGCGTATAAGGAGGAGGAGGGCGAGGAGGGCAAGGAAATGGAAAAGGCATCTTTACGATCCTTCCTCCCCCCTCGACCCCCTGATAAACGTGGATTCAATTGGACAAGTTCGCTCGTTCGTGAACTCGGATCGTCCCGCGTTCATTAAATTTTTATGCCGTACAGCAATGGGATTCCCCCCTTCTCCCCTCCCCTCCCAAAAAAATCGAGGGATTTTAAATTAAGTTATCGTTGTATCATCTCTCACGATCGTAAAAATTTTGCCAAGTTTACGACATCGGTTAACTTTGATACGGATTTTTATCGTATCCCGTGGAACTGGTTCAATCGTATTCTAAAGCAGAATTAGACGTAGAAGTTTCGTAGCGTTTTACGATTATTGTTCTTCGCCAGACATAAATCTATTCTTTCGAAACTTGTGTTAAATAAGTATGGTTATGCGTGGTTATGTACCTTGCCAAAAAATATTCGGTTAATTTGCTCTACGATTTGAGGAGAGATGGATTTTTTGAATTGGCAGGGATTCGCGTTGGAATAGCGAGAAGCAAATAATAAATGAGTGCTAAGAAAGAATAAAAAAAAAAAAAAATTGAGTCGATAATAACTTTATAATTATGAAAATTCATATCTTTTTTACCATCTGAATTCTTTCAAGATCTTTCATTTTAATGTATTAATAATATCTTTAATGCAAAATACTTTTTTCCTTCGTTTTATATATATTTATTTCAAATTATGTAAAACAAATTATTTAAACATCACAATTTTAGATTATATTTTAGAGTCGATTTTCTCTACAGGTGTTCTATAGAAGTATTATTATTCCGTTGACAAAGACGGTATGAAACGTCATTGCCACAGGAACATGATAACATCGATTGTCATTAATATTCAAAATATTGATTGAACGGAATCGCTTTCCGGACACGGTCGTGTTCCTCTTTGCTTCCGAGTAAATATCATATCACTTTGTAAATAACGAAGCGAAGCGTATATAATTATAGTAAAAGTAAGTAGTACAAAAAATTTGTAAACGAACGAATATAATGAGAAACCGAGCCAAATATTTAAAGTATCATATAATTTTGCATATTTTTATCACATACCGTTTAAATTTATTAATCGTATTTATTTTTCCCTTCCTTTCCCCTTCAAAGATGTTTTACGAATAAGTGGAAAACGGAGAGCGCGATCGAATTAACTATATCTCCGTACGTATGTTACATCATTCGATATATTTTATGCAATATTATATATATGTATATTTCCACGTGACACGTGACCTGCGCAAGACAGATGCGCAAAGTCACAGTGACAGGTCTACGGTTCTTACTCACCGAACACTATAACGAGGGTCATTTTGACCGTCTTAACTTTGGCTCTAGGGATAAGTCCTCGAGACGATACCCTCCTGGTGTCCCTAGTGGGTCCCTGGCGTAATGCCCCCCCTTGTGACCATATAGTGGCCACGATCACAGCATAACAGCCCCCTATTATCAGGGTAGGGGCTATAAAGAGGGTGAAGCTGACCAAGCTCATGTAGATCCTCCACTGCGTAGGCGAGCCCAGGTCTATCCAGCATTGTGTCTTCCCCTGGTGAACCGTCCTGTCGATTATCCTCGGCCGAAATTAACCCAACAATCGTTCGTTTAAATCGTATCACCTCGTACAATTTCACGTATTGGGGTGCTCAAGATTTTCAACACTTTGACGTTTTGGAATAATGTTTTCGATCAAATTTGTTAGCAATAGCAAATCGAGATATGTATTTTACGTGTTTCATATTGCGAAAAGGATAATAATTTTTAAATGGACTTTTTCAAAATCTAGGTTAGGTTAGAATTTTGTAAATATGATATATATATTTTTATGTACATTTTACGTAATTTTGTATAGAGAGTATGAGGCAGTATAGCCAACGTCAAAGTGTGATTAAAATGATTTTATTGAATGAAATTATTCTTTCTATGAAAGTTTGAAATATTTTAAAAGCTTAAAATTAAATGAAATATTTTATTCGAAAAAAAGTATTTCTTTTCTATATACATTTTATAAAGATCTGATTTCATAATAATTTTATTAAAAATTCAATTTCGTACGATTCTGTAGAAATTAAATTTCTATTTAAAATTAAACGATCGATTCTCTTAGAGAAGAATATTTTAAACAATTCTATTGAATAAAATCGTAATTAAAATCGATTTGGAATAATTTCAAACCATTTCACGTCGATTAATAGATGTTTAACGGAATTTTACGAATTAATCTTTATAATTAAAATAATCCTTTTTCTCGTAAAATAATCATATAGATACGCGTAAATAATTTCATTATTCGATCTTTTTCAATTTAAACGATTAAAATTTTCAATATCGTGTAAAAATACGAATTGAATCGAATGATCATCAATTTTAAAAATTTCATCGTTTCGCTTAATTAAGATCGAAATCTTCAACTTTGAAAAAATTTGTCGGAAAATTCCACAGTTTCTCATTTAATTAAGCGATAAAAAATTTCTTTGATTCGAAAAAATTCTACGATATATTGTTGTTTGATGTTTAATGTTGTTGTTTGTTAATGAAAATCTTCTGAAAATTTTCTTTTTAACAAATCGATCGATACCTCCACACGCTTCTCTTCGTAGAGGAAAATAATCGGCGCGCTAAACAATGCCGATAATCCCCAGGCACTTATCACCAAGGCTCTGGCTCTCCACCCTGTAATTAAAATTGGATTTCCATCGTTAAGTCGATTTCTCCACAATGGGGAAGCAATTCTGGGAGAAATTCGTTATGTCATCCTTATGATTATGGTATGAACGAAGAGAAGAGTTGAGTTTCATGAATTTCGAACTCGTCCAATTCATAACACGAACGCATTTCGAGAGTAAAATCCTTGAAAGTTAAGATAAAATTTCGAAAGATCGATCGACACGAAATTGAAGAATAATAGGGGAAGGTTGAATAAATATTAGTTGAAATTTTAGCTTCAGGTATTTACTTTCGAAGAATGAAAAATTTTCAATTCTATCTATATTATTGACAACGTGAAAATATCGATATCTTCGTTAGCAGATGTCGTTGTCGTCGAGTTTCTAATAACTCGATATATACATAAATATATATCGACGATAACGACATCTACAACGAATATATCGATATTTTCAATCACGTTGTCTATAATATAGGTAGAATTAAAATTTCTCATTAATATTTTCAATAGATTATATATATATATAGAATATCCCATTAATAAAATATTCATTCGCTTCTGAGAAAAATTATAAATAATGCAAATAAACACTTTTGAATTCTAACTTGATTCAATATCCATTATAGAATTTCGTCTTCGAATTGTCAATTATCTACGAGCCAAACTTTTTTTTTATCATCACTCAAACGCGTTAATTTTTTGAGAACGAGTGATTAGATTTTTGCTGATTTTATGAATAAAGCACTCTATGAATCGAAGCTGATATAAATAAATTATTACAGTGAAGTTATTGCATTAGCGACATAAATGATATTTAATGATCAGTAACGTCTGTATGTGCAGTTTTAAACATGTGTATGTTATAAAGAATATTTATATATATACAATGTATAAAAAAGTCTGCAAAAGATTGTGATATTTTAAAAAATTTTTTTAGTAATTTATATTAATTATTAGTACATACACACATCATTATTCTTTATCTTTTGATGATTTTATAAAAATTGAAATTTTTTTCTTTAAATCAATTATGATATATTGATATATAAGTGTTTTAAATAAACTCTAATTATTTTTAATTCGTAATTAAGTTATATTGAGTTTGGCTGTAGGATTATAATAAAAAAAAAAATAAAAATAATAAAAATTCATATGCGAAATATAGTAGTGATTATTAAAATTTGTAATTAAATTTCGTTCAAGTTTTCAAATTTTACTAAAAATCACGAAAAATATTGAAAATTCTAATTTTTTTTGATCGAGGGATTGTATAATATAATATATCGAAAATTTTTCATTAATATCTCAGAAATAATAAATACTCGAAGCTAAAATTTTATACTTTTATGATCTATCTTTTCTCCAAAAAAAGTACGAATTAAATAAAAATTATTTGTCGAGAATTATTTTTTATTAAGTAAACACTTAAATTAAGAGTGAAAATTATTAACGTCTTGTGAAAAATATTTTCTAGATATTGAGAGTGAAAATTATAATAGAAATGTAATAATTTTCGAATAGAGTTTTTTATTCTCAAATTTTATTTATATCCTTATCCGAATAATAAAATAAAAACAAAAACAAAAAAGAGAAAATATAATCAGAATATAATCAAAAGTTTCGATGGAATAAAGAAACTTCCATTTCATTATTTTAATAACGGAATAATGCTTTGATATTTTTATTTTGAAATATGGGATCTATACTGCAATGTGGAGAAATATTATTCAAAGAAACAAGAATTTACATCAATGTTATTAAAATAGAAAAAATTGATTAATCAAGAAAACATAGAATTTTTAAATGTCTTTTTATTCTATCATGATTTTTCATCTTTTAGCTTGCTTTTTATACAATATACATTAGGTACGGCTTATGGTGGAATTTATAGTGGAATAAAGAAAACATGAGATTGTAATGCTCGTTGATCTACTTTGAGAATGACATCTTGATCATTGGTAAATGTGTCTCGGATATTATTTCGTGACGGAAAAAGAAGTGTGAAAAAATATGAAGGAAAATGATTCATTCGTTGGAGCATGTATTTTTTTTCTAGTTGATAGGAAAAATGTAAATATACAATTATTTTATTTAAATTTTGGAAAGTAAAATAAAAATAAGTGTTTTTTTTTAATATTCCTTATTTTTAATTCTTGAGATGATTATTTATATTTAACAAAAAGAAAATCTTGAATAAATGAATATTAAATAAAGGAATTTTCATTTAGAAATCTTAATTTTTTAAAAATATTTATTGGATAATTATAAAAATATATTTATTCTATTAAATATTATTTTTTTAAATATTCTCTGTTTTTAATTTTAAGAGATTAATTAAGGAGATGATTATTTAAATTTAAAAATAAAAGTAAAAAGAATAGATATTAAATAGATTTTCATTCATGACAACTTTTTTGGAAATGTTTGTTGAACAATTACAAATATATATAATATTTATTTTATAAATATTAATAAATTTTAGGAAGTGTTTTATATATTATTAATAGAATAGTCTTTTTTAATATTCTTTTTAATATTCTTAAAGATGATATATATATTTGAGAAAAAGGAAAACAGTTTTTTAATACTCTCTATTTATAATTCTAGAAATGATTGTTTAATATTTTTATAGATTAATTATTTTTATTCTATTTAATGGAAACAACAAAATATAAATATGAATTTAAAAATGTTTGGTGAACAATTAAATTATTTATCTAATTTATAAATATCACAATTTCAATGAAAAATAATCTTTCTTGATATTCTCTATTTTTCTAAAAATGATTGTTCATATGATTTAACAATAAAAAAAGAATCTTAAAAAATGAACAAATTTTTATTTAAATTAATCTTGTGATAACATTTTTTTAACTGTTCTGAATTTTCTATAATTGAATAATTAAACATTAGTGAATGATTAACATGATAAATATAAATATTTATTATTTAAATTTCACAAATTATTATTTATTTTATTGTTATATATTTTTTTCTTGTAAAATTAATGGTACATTTTTTTTAGTCATATAGATTTTTGATTAAAAATTGAAATTGTAATAATCTCATTTATGTAACAAAATTTGAGATTTGAATTTAATAACAATATCCATATATTTCAGATTCAGATAATGAAATGGAATAATATATTTTCTTAAATTAAATTATTTGTACAATAAAAGTCAAAAAAAAAATTATTAAGCAAGGAATCGATAAACTCAAAATAGATCTATACATGTATTATAAAGTTCGAAAAAGTAGAAAGTTATAATAAAATAACAAGTTGTATCTATTTTATATCCAATTAAAAGTTGAAAGTAAGTACCATAATCTGGATGAAACACTCACTAGGATTACATTAGTAATTATAAATTGATGAGCAAGTTTTGATTAATATTTAAGTAAATGTTACACAAAAGTTCAGATGATCAATTATCCCATGTTTTTAATTAAATTATTTTTAAATCCTGTCCCAATTACTAAATAACTTTGATAACTAACAATTAGCATATGTTAAAAAAGAAAGAGGACAATAATGCTATATATTTTCGAGATATTTTAAGCAAACATTTTAATTATTATATTGTTCAACATTCAAAAATTGTTAAAAATCTCGATGTAAACCTATTATTCGTATAATTATATTTATAATTAAATTTAATTTAATTTAAGTATATAATATAAACATTTATTTAAATTTATTATTCAAATGAAATTTAAAATAAATTAAATTCATAATATGTAAGTAAATAATTAATTTATTCGATAAACATTTAATAAAGAATTAAATTAGAGTAACAAGAGTACTTACATCTGCCACTGAAATTCATAGGTCTCGTAATGGCGTCGTATCTGTCGATTGACAAAGCGACGAGCACGTATGTCGAGCTATACGTAACGACAGCTTGCATGAACCTTATCAGCTTGCAAGCAACGTTACCCGCATGCCAAGACACCGTCGTTTTCCAAATTATATCTGTTAGCACGGATATCAAGCCCACCAATAAATCTGCAATGAGATATTCAACGTCGTGAGATGATTTATTATAACGTTATTATTACGTGGGATGTTCGATTATGGATGCCTAGAAATAATGTAAGGGACAATTTTTCGAAATAAGAAGGAAATTGCATTAATCCATTTATTCAAGTTATATTCGAAACCTTCGAACAATTGTCTCTTATAAGAATAATATAAAGATAATAAAAAAAAAAGAATAATAGAACAAAATAATAGAACAATAATATAAAGATATAAAAAAAAAAGAATAATAGAAGAATAGAAAGAAATAATAGAAGAATAATATAAAGATAATAAAAAAGAAAAATAATAGAATAATAGGAAATGAATAATAGAAATGCAAATAAAATAAGGATTGCAAAAAATACAATATATAGAAATGCAATGTCAAAATAGTTGAAATAATAAGATACTTTTATAAATGCATCAATGCATTTATTTAATAAATATAAATGCACTTTTTCTTAAAATTTTCTTAAAATTTTTTTAAAATTTTTATAATTGAACTAACTTAATTTCTTTTACATATCCTTTATTGTAAATGCAAATGTGCTAAAATGCAATAAATGCATTTTTTTAAAAGTATATATTTCATTTTATAATTTTTTATTTCTATTAATTCTTATATAGTTTTTTTATATATTATTTTGTATTTAGCATTATTTGAAAATCATTATATTTTTCTCAACTTTATTCATATGCTTAAAAGATTTGATATTTTGATATTTTCGTCGATTTTGAATCATTATAATTAAAAAATAAAATCGAAAATGCATTTTATAATTTTATTCTTCATTTTTTTATTTCTAAAATCATTGTAGAAATTTCTAAATTTCTTTTTTTAAATTTTTATCTACTAAATTGAATACTCTGTATATAGCAATAGATGCAACGTTAGTATAATTCTCTGGTGAACGAACTTAATGGACCATTTGGAAATGTGTTCATTAACCGTGACCAACTATTTTAAAATATTTTAACAAAGTCATTTCTATCAAGAACACGTGAACTATTTTCAATTTATATTTTAATCCATTTTATGCGCTTTAATTCTCGTACAAATTTCTGTTTCCAAGAAAATCTATCATGTAGTGTGTACATAGCGTATTGCATTATCAATATACTGCAAAAATATAAAGAAAATTGATTCGAGAAATATTTAAGCTAGTTTACAATTTAAATAAATAAATATTTTAATCAAATACATATACTATCTATATATCAAATAATTTCCATTGTTTTTATTTTTAATATTTTTTTCATATAAATAAAAATCGATGCGTTATTTACAATGTCTTGTTTTTCTATACAATATGTAAATTAATATCTGTGAGTTTATTATTGCTTACAACGAATTCACTGTACATTTACATAGATATAAAATCAATCAATCGTACCAACCTATAAATCGCAATCTACATAGAAATTGCTTTTGCTATTTTTATAGTCACTAACCATTTGATCCTTAACGCTTATTTTAATATATATTTACATTATTATATTTCTCTTGCTATTTAATTCAAAAATAGTGTCCTTAGTCGTAATTATTTATTAGAAACTATTAATTTTTTTTTTTTGTTTTTCTTTACCATATATTGGTAAAGAAAACTTGCAGTCTATATAAATATTACGATAAAACGAGATCGCGATGAGATTCATTGAGATAACAATTCAAAAATATTAAAAAAATTCGAAATAAAGATAGAATTATCTTTATCTAGAAAGCGATTAATTTTAAAAAAATTTTTCTTATTATATAGAATTATAAATTATTTGAATATTATAAAATGGAATTACAACTCAAAAAGTGATAAGAAAATATGGTTTATCAATTCGAAATAGTGAATAAATATAAATTAAAGAAATTAATTTCTACTTTCCTTATTATGGAAATTTATTTAAATAATTATTATATATTACAAAATATTGCATTTCGAAAGAGGTTAGAAATCACTGTATTAGACATTATTAAAAAATGTTGAAACACATATATCACGAATGAGGATTCTGATTTTCCACGAGAGGACAGAAGTGCCATAAAGAAGTGGTTTAAAGGATATCGTATAAAGTGTTGCGATCAGTTACCCATAAAAAAGACCCTCGAAAGTGAGATTTCACTCTACCAAGTCCCATGTGAAACGATCGAAACCTAGCTCGTATATTTTCCTCTGATATTGAAACTCGATTGGATATACTTATCATACGACAATAACGTGGATTATTTAATCGATTTTCCATCCAAGAAATAATTCAAAGCTATTGTAGTATATATATCTTAATTCTTAAGATTTATTCAGATTTTGTTAGTCAATTTTATATTTATATTAGCAATTTTATAATAATAATAATCATAATGATATCAAAAGAAATAGTGCAATAGTTGTAATTATAAGAGCACAATAACAAAACCAACAATATATGGTACATGGCAGAATAGAAAAATAATAGCATATAATAACATATCAATTCAAAATGATTTTTATATATTTATATTTTTATAATAATTGCAATAAATAGATTATGATTACTAAATTCAAAATTAAAATTGTATGATAAAGTTATATAATATATAAGATATCATATTATGTATCAATTGGTGATATATATAAAAATACATCAAAAAAAAAAAAAATTTGTTTAAGGATTTATTTTTAAATTAAATTATAAATAAAACTGATAAATTGACAATTGAAACCATCGATAAAAAATTATTTTTCATATAAAAATAATTAAAAAATATAGATAAAATAAAATTTTATCTTATCGAAAAATCATATAAACAATTAATGAATCTTTCAAATTCGATTTTCTCAAAAAATAATTTTTAAATGAAAAAATTTATCTTATCTTTTTACATAATTTTAATAATTCATTCAATATTTATTCGTATTTATTAATTTTATTTATACAAAAATTCTCAAATTAGATAAAATCTGAAATGAAAAAATTTTATTCTCTTTTTTTTGACAAGTAAAATTAGCAATTATATGACATTATTGTGTAATTATACGACACTATACATATAATAATATATCCTAAATATAATATAATCCATCGTGATTTGACAAAATCTAAAGAATCTTTTCAATTAATTTTTTTTTTCTTTAGAAAATTAATTTTTCTTTTGACAATCAATACGATATTTATAATCTTTATAATGTTAAATACCAACCGTAAGAAATAATTCCATCAAGAATTGCATCCTTCGCGCGACATAAAAATCGACGATAATAGAGAAACTCTCTGTCGGCAAAAATGCTTCATAAAATTGGGAACATTTGCATGCGAATAAGCTGAAAACAGTATCCGCAATTAAGCAACTCGATACTAGCGACGCGCATCGACTAAATTTGAAAACGAGTAAATGCTCGTTTACGAGCGAATAATCCATGATCCATCGTAAAAGAAAAAGTGGGCGATCGCGTACACAACAAGCCGTAAAATTCGAATTCGAATTTTTTGTCCTTTTACCAACGAACGAACTGGACCGATAAATTATTTAAAATATAAAGATATGAAGATCGTATCAAGACGAGTCGGCGAATAATATAATTAATATAAAGATTTAAAAAAAATTGATCGTAACAGATGAATCTTGAAATATATATTATCGTTCAAAAGTTGGAAGCAATTATATTTTGGAATAAAAAATATTTAATATATGAATAATTGTGAATGTTTCGACATTGATAATTATTTTATGACATATTTGAAATTATCCAAAATTTGTTTAAAAGTAATAAAAGATAAAAATAGTTAGGTTTTATAATGAATTAAAGAAAGATTTGATTTCGAATTATTGAAAATTATTGAATTATTGGTTTGATTTATTCATTATCTTTGTTTTGTTACATCACTGCCATATTCTGTCTTCTTTCTCGCTTCGCTTCATTTAATGCGAACTTAAATTGTTTATAACTTGATAAAATCTTAACTTTTGCGTTTATTTTGATTTTTAAAAAATCAAATCCATCAACGATCCTTCAAAAATGCATCAAGAATATAGTGACATCTTGTATAATAAAATTGTAATAAAATAAAATATAATAAAATAGTTAAATATTCAAGAAAAAAGCTTTGAAAGTAAGATAATCATTCTGAATAAATTTTTCCTATACATATAATAGATTTCATTTAAAGTTGAAAAATATACAATTTTTCGAAAAATTTTGCGTTTAATAGATCTGTTTACGTTCTTTATATTAGAAATGAATATCTTATAAAACACAATGGACAGAGCTAAAAATGTGAAATTATCAAATGATTTATAAATTATGCAAAAAATGTTTTTTTTGAATGCACAAACCTCATTTGCAAACTCATAGGTTAATCTTGTTAATAAACCTCGTCACAGAAAAATTAAAACACTTATTTATAATAGGTTTGAATTAGGTTAAATTAGGTTAGATTAGATTTTCTTTTCGTGAACATTTTCTGTAAAATATATAGTGATAATAATATAATAAAATTTTAATAAAATATTCTTGACACATTAATCGATCCAACACTGATTTAATTTTACATTTATTTCATCGAAGTATCTCGTTAAAAAACGAGAGTTCATTTTCTTGTTATTCGTACAAAGAGCAAACAAATAAATTCATCATATTCTCTTTTACCTACGATCTTTCATGTCTTCTTCCTTTATTTTTTCATCTAGGTTTCGAAATTTTCCTTTATTTTTTCCTCTTTAAACGACAAATGCACACATTCAATTCAACGCGATAACATGAAATACATCGTGGAACGATAATATCGATAGAATACGAACGATTTAACCTCCATTCCTTCTCATCTCTCTCCTTCTATCTCTCTCGTTTCGAAAGAGAGGTAAGAAACGTTTCCGATATATAAGTACACGTACGTTTGTGAATCGTTTGATGGCTCTTACAGGCAATCGTCGTCGAATGGAAAAATGGTCTTTTTTTACGCGATGTAAAATGTCATAGGCAACGTTCACATGCGTATTCGACCGTAAAAATCCATAT